TTAGCAGCATCTCTGGTCGCTACCCACAAGATGCCAGGAACACCCTCTAGTTGTGATAACTGAAAATGTCTCCAGACATTTACAAATGTTCCCTGGGGGCAAAATCGCTCCCAGTTGAAAACCACCATCTCTAATGTGAGTCATGGGAGCAGAAGGCATGAGAACAGAGGAGAAATCTTGAAGCTGTATGGCTTAGGCGGTCATCTCGGGGCTGGGGCCCTTGATGGATCCTAGTGGGGAATGGTCCTTCTGCCCTCTCTGTGACAGGCTTCTGCTCCTTCCCAGAAAGGGCAGGGATGGAGGGCTCTCCTGTGGCCCAGCAGTCAGGGGGCAGGTGTGCTGTCAGACCCTCGAACATCTGGATGGAAAAAGACAAGCCGTTCTCCAGATGTGTTGATTACACAGATTGCTCATCATCTGGAGCTAGTCAAGGGTGACAACCCTGCACATTGAGAGCTATTTGTGGACTTGGCCCCTCTGGGGAGGGTTAAATTGGGCTGTTGGTGTCCTGGGACAGTGCCACCCATTATGGAGTCTTCGGGGGCGTTATTACCCGAGGACCTCCACTGTGTCCAAGGGCCGGAGGGCCTTCCTCAGGATTTTGCTGGGTTTGTGTAGAGGATTCCTGACCCAAACTTGCACTTGTAGGGGAGTCGGAGAATTTTCTTAAAGTGGCCCCTTTGGTCCTGGCTTGTCTGGCAACCTAAAGCATGTCCTAAATCAGGAGGTGGGGACCCCCAGAAGACCCCTTTGCCCAGACATGTCACCCTCCCTGACCTCTCTTCTCCAAGGCCTCTTGAATTCCTTTAGAAATGCGTTGCCTGATGAAAAGCTTACACCTGTAATTGCAACCATGTAACAACAGGATATGGGCGAGGAGAGGGGGCTGATGCCAGCCCTGGGTGTTGCTGGGTTATAGGTTTGTGAGAGCTCTAATTGTTGTCTACTTTTCTGTATTGTCCATATTTGGTACAATGAGCATGTACTCCTTTTTAAAAATAAACGTTTTATTTTGGAACCGTTTTGGATTTACAGAAAAGTTGCAAACATAGCACGGAGTTCCTGTACACCCCACACCAGGTTCCCTTTCTTGTTAACATCTTATTGTTAATATGGCACCTTTGTCACAACCGATGAGTTGATCTCAATACACTATTATTAACCAAAGTCCATACTTTATTCAGATTTCTTCAGCTTTCCCTCACTGCCCTTTTTTTGTTTGTTTGTTCTAGGATCCCATTCAGGCTCCCATGTTATATCTAGTCCTTATGTTCCTCTTGGCTGGGACAGGTTTTCAGATTTTCCTTGTTTTTGATGAACCTTGACAGTTTTGAGGGGTACTGGTGGTACTATTTGTTGAATATTTTCTCAAACGGGACTTGTCTGATAGCTTTCCATGGTTAGACTTGGGTCACGTGTTTTTAGGAGGAAGACTGCCGAGGTAAAGTGCCATTCTCAGCGTATCATTATCACTGTGGATGTTGACCTTGATCACCTGGCTGAGGCCGTGTCTGTCACTGCAAAGTTAACTGTTTTTCCTCCCCTTCCCATCCTGTCCACTTTGGAACGAAGTCACTGTGCAGCCTACACTTAAGGAGTGGGGAGGTACGCTCCCCCCTCCTTGAGGGCAGAGTAGCTACATGCATTATTTGGAATTCCTCGTGGGAAATTTGCCTGTTCTCCTCATTTATTATATAAATAAATGATTGGCTTTTTTTTTTTTGGTTTGTTTTTTATCAGCTGGGACTCATGGATATTTGTTTTATACTTTGTGTTATAATCCAACACTACTTTATTTATTTGGTGGCTCAAGTGCACTACTTATTAAACTGGAAAAAGAAAGTAAAGCAACTGTTATTATTTAAAGGAGTTTCTAGTGAATGAAGATACGCTCTCAAACAAGTCTTTATTTTACGTGTCCAGCCCCAGGCCTGATTCATTCATGGCCTCTGCCCTTCAGGGGTTCTGGTCTATCCAGGAAAAACTGTGATAATGGCTTTGATGGATGACAGGGCTGGCTGGTATATGGGCACGGATGAGGGGACTTAGCCCAGCCATGGGTGGGGGTTGTCGATTCAGGGAAGGCTACTTGGAGGAGGCCTGAGGGCTACGGATGAGCAGGACTTCGCTTGGGTACGTTGGGAAGGAAAAGGCGTGCCAGGCAGACGGAGCTGCACGAGCAAAGGCTTGGAGGTGGGGAGACTGTGGGATGTTTTGGAAACCCTGAGAAGTTCATAAAGTTGGGGTGGAGGAAGGGCTGGCTGTGAGGTATGGCGGGGCAAGCTGGAGAGGTCAGCAGGGGTGGGACTGGACCAAGTCCCTCACTTCTTTTAGGCTTCACAGCTAAAAGGATAGACCTCTGCTTGACCCAATTCTCACATTTTATAGATGAGAAAACAGAGGTCTAGGAGGATCCCTGACTCGCAGGGGCCTGCACCACGCTGCTATTACTGGCATACACAGGTGTGTGGAATGAGCCAATGAGTGAACAAACAAATTTTTGACCTGGCCCATGGGCCAGGGGTGGTCCATCTGCCTGGGAGGCCCTTTGTTTCTTCTTTATGGTCCAACTCACAGGACGTTTTCTCCTCTAGGAAGCCCCCCCGATTTGATTTGTCCTCCTAAGAATTCCAGGGGCTCTTCTCTCTGCTCTACTTT